GACGGGCCATACAAAACCCACACTGGCAAGGAGGGGGTTAATGAGGGCCTGTGCAGTGCACCCAATTGGCCCTGCCCCATTACACCTGTAGTAGATGTCAGATGTGGAGAGAGGAGTTAAAAGGAGGAGACCAAGCTCAGTCTGGGGCTGACCAGGAAGAACAGAGCTCTTCAGCCAAGAGTCTAAGACAGCTGGCTGCGTGGATGAACTTGTGGATGGGATGACTCAGCACAGGAAAGCTGGCTAAACGAACAGGCTGCATGAAGGCAAGCCCGGAGTAGAAGGGTGTGGTCCTGCCGAAAGATGATTCTGGTTTTGAATTCACAGTATCTCTTTATCTTCGGACTTTGATACCTTGGAAGGGATCAATCTCAAGCATGCCTTAGCTGGAGGGTTATAGCAGAGACTATACTGGTCCCATGACAAACAGCGCAGCAGCCACTGTTGGAGACCTCATGTTCCTTCCTGGGCTGAGTGTCTTGTTGGGCCACAAGGGAGCACCATGGAGGACGGCCCTGCCACAGTAAATTTCTAGCCCTCATGATTTTCTAGGGAAGCTTTAAAATGACACCAGACGCCAAATAACCTCCCAATAATTTTTTTCAAATCTCATGATTTGGGGGTGGGGTGGGAGTTGCCTGTTCATAATTTAACATTTGGGTCTGGCGACATTTGGGCTGCTCACAGTAGTATGCCCCATGTTCAGTAACTGCAGGACGGGCTGTCATGCTCGTGTCATTTGGGTAGTGCTCAGTGTTTACTGTACTCTGCACTCTTGAATCTAGCATATGTTTTGAGGTGCCGCCTGTCCATATTTTGCATGTGCTATGAATTTGGTGTGGAAAAAAATGGAAACAGGAATAACCAGACTCGTGCATTTGCAGAAAGACAGCTTGAACTCGCTATTGTGAATTAGGACTCAACAAGCTGTTCATACTGGAGGGCCTTTAACGTGGTGTCTAATTATACTGCTCATTGTTCTGGGAGTTTGGTTCTGTAACACTGTTTAAATAGTCACATACCCACTCTCACTTTCTGTTGCCAAATATCATTATTTAATTGCTCGAAGCAATGGTAACAGTTGATCACATGGGACTGCTCTGATTATTTTCAGTTTGCCATAGGTGGGGATGGGGAGGCGTGCACTTCAACTGTCAGTCACTAATTAGCCACTAATCCCATACAGTGAAATTCCCACACATGGCAAAGGCATCATTTGGTGACTCTCCCAATTAGCATTATAATACTCCAAGCTTTTGAACAGTTTGTGTATATTTATCTTTCTCTTTAAATCGCATAGGCTGCCATAGATTAAACCAATTTAATACTATAGACAAGCCTATTGTCTGGCAGCTGTTAGCCTAAATCATCCTCTCCCTCCTCCTAGCTAATGGTTAGAAGCAAACTTATGTTAAAGTGGGTATAATTTGAATTTGCTTGTAATCTACCGGTATTGCTATAAAACTGGAATTAAATTTACCATCTAAAGGGACAGTTTTTGCCCTTCCTCTCTAGGCATGTAGGAGCTAATAGGCAGTGGAGTCAGTGCAGTTCTGCTGTGAGGATGAGCATGCAACACGAGGAAGGGAGGAAAGGACAACCTGTGAGGAGCCCAGTCTCCATAGGAGCTGAATACATGGCAGCGGGGGTTGAGGCGGGGTGAGAACATGACCACTGGATAAGAGCCTACATGAATCCATGGGGCTGAAGTACCCTTCTGAAAAGGGAGTCCGTGGCTGGGAAGCCTTCTGCAGCCCTGAACATTCAGTTACCTTCCAGTGAGGCCAGAACTCACCTGCAGACTGACCTATGCACAGGGCCAGGGGTTTGACTCTATGGGTCTTGATACATAGTCCACGGAAGTGAATGGAAAAATTCTCATTGACTACCACAGGCTTTGGATCAGGCCCTAAGAGCAAGTGGTTTAAAGAGAAGAAATTGCAAGCTCTTCAGAGGGCTGGGATAGTCTCTTTGTGTTTGTACAGCACCTGGCACAACAGAATGCTGACCCTGACTGGGGCACAACCCCAGTACAAATGTTCAGTCTTCATGTTTCTAATTCCTGGGAAGTCTGCGGGTATTGGTTATGTCACTGTATCCAGTCTTTAGACTGTGAAAAGCATTTACTTATGTGTTCAGCAATGTGTAGGAGAGAGCAAAGGGAAATAGTTTGAAAGTGCCTCAAAGAATTCCCCCTTACTAGTTGTGAGGCAGAACAAAGTAATGCATTGAATAAAAGAAGGCTACACCACATTCATACATGGAAATTCCAAGAACTAGCCCCAACTGTGGTCTAAATCATGAACAGCTAGGTACAATGATGTCATTTATTTCATACGTTCTCCCCTGGGCTAAAGGAGGTTGCAGATCCATCATGAGATATAGCTAATGAAGTAGAGGCCAACGTTCCAGAGGTGTCCAGGTCCTTACCTATCAATTCCCAGATTCACAAAGCAATCTTCCACTGTCCATCTCTTGCTGCTACCAGCATTAGCAATGCCGCCAGGCCAGAAGCCATGCTACCATTGGCTAATGACCCATGACTGATGGCATTTAACTGCTGTACCATCTATCCCTATCTAAATTCATTTCCAATCTACACAACTCCTAGAGAGCTTTGCCATTTTTGTTGCCAGCAAACTATAGTCAACAGAGGCCAACAGCTGCTAACTTCTGAACTCTGTTAATCCGGTTAAACTGGTTCTTTGCTGCAATTTTGAGCAAAGGCTGCTCAAGCACTTTAAAGTATTGTCTTAAAGATCAGTTATCTCCATCATGCTTTAATTGCTTGTTTACAATTAAGTAATCTAAATGTGTGACATCCCAGCAGAGCAGTCTCTTCAGTTGGTCTTGTATGCAATGAGAATTTTCAGAAATGCTCCTACCTTTGGTGTAGCACCCATGCTTGCTAAAGTTGGGACGCTTTAGAACCTGAAGAGAATAGCGTAGAGCAAGTGTAAGCATTTCTACTGTCATATCACCTAGCGAGCAGGGTTAGATGTTACCGTGGAATAACACCTGCATTCCCCTGACATGCTTTCATCAATGCTAGACCTTTAGGTGCTACCACAGTATAAAAATAACCAACTGTAGGATAACTTCTAACTTCATCAGTGAAGATGCAATCCTAGAGTGACCTAAAATGCCATGCTCCTCGATTGTACTGTATATAATCTTCTAGCCATTGTGCTTTCTGCATGTATGTTCCTTACAGGTCAATAAGAGTGGCCATACTTACCCGCTGCTTAATTAATATTGAATTTTAGTCCCACAGTCTTGCCCTTGGATATATATCCACAGATCCTGCTGACTTCAGCAGGTCCATCTGCACTAGAGAATTGCACTGAGCATGTGCACTTAGAACAGTGTTGGCAACACCTGTGCCATTACAACAACTTGTGTGAGTGGAACATGAAATGTCCAATAAGCAGGGGCTTCCAAAGGCTCTAGCAATGCTGAATTTCTCTTAAATAGATTGACTTGAAGTGAGCCACATGTCTCCCAAGTGAAGAATTTGGCCCTATAAATCCTGTAATTAATTTGCTTTATTGTACAACTCAGAAGACTTTTTTTCTGAACAAAAGACATCTTAGTTGTACTGTCAGATCTAGTTAGTGCTTGATGTTTGCCCTAGTTCAAGTCATCATGTTAAAGTTACAGGCACAGCACAGCTGCATTATACAGACCCTTAACAAAACTGGTTTAAAGTATGCACTGCAAATATCTGAAGGGACTTTATTTTGGTTTCAGCTTAAAATGCTGAGTTTCAAATATACTCACATGTAATGGAACCACATTCATATTGCAAGAATTCTTTGTTCATCCACAACCACTTCCACCATCATGGGCAACATACTTGCTATTAGTCTAAGCATCAAGGCGAAGCACTGATTGAGAATGGTGCCTGAACTACTCTTCCACCCCTAGAGCTGGTCTCTCCAGGGCAGGGTTGAGGGCTGTTGCTGATCATACTGCATTTGTATGCAATATCCAGCAAAACGTTTAAGAATGTGCACATGGGTAGAGTTGGTTACTCCAGTGGGACTACCTAAACGCTCTGCTGAAGTGGGGCAAGAGTGCTCAGCACCTTGCAGCATCAAGCACTATAAGAGGAAGATCTTGTCTATTCGGTCCACAAGCTTTTCATGGCAGCAACAGTCTGTTACTATGAGTGTGTACAGGGCCTGTAGGCCCTTGAGTGGCCCTATAATAATAGAAAATGTTTCTGGGTTGTAGTTAGAAGACCTCAGTCTGTCAACCTAGCATCCTTCATGAGCAGAGTTCATTAAAAGAAATGATGTATCCATGTACACTAGTTCACACGGGAACGGCACTGACAAAGCACTTGTTTTCACTGTCCCATCCAAACTGACTTTAGCTCAGATCTGCTTCCTTCCCCAGGCCTGAAGAAGAGCTCTATGTAGCTTGAAATCTTGTACTTTCCACCTACAGAAGTTGGTCCAATAAAATGTATTACCTCATCCATCTTGTGTCTCTCAGATCCGGAATCAACGCGGCTACAACAACATTGCAACACTGAAAACAACTTAACTATGTTTTCAGTTTACAGGGAGGTGATTTGTCCCCAGAATGACAGCAGGGCTAGGTTTGCATCCCCCTACGGAGTGTTAGTACGCCAAGTTACTTTGTGGTAAAATAGAAACACACTAATTCGGTGCACTTTCAAGGCTATTGCTGATGTGTGGGAGCAAGAGAAAGAAGTGGCAAAGAAATTGAAATGTAAATCTTACTGCTTTACACCTCACAACCATATGCATTAGATAAACAAACAGCCATCTCCACCTACTTTGTTTTTCTAGCCAAACAAAGACAGGCAAATCCTTAGAATGTTTGTATATCTTGGCGCCACATGAAACTAACTTCTTCAGTAAAATATACTTTCAACTCACTTGGTGAAAAGAAAATGCTTCCATGGAGGTGGAAAAGAGAAAAACAAACCAAGAAAAAGTAGAATGAAGCAGAAAGAAAAAATACAGGAATTGTAAATAAACCTGTTTATCCTGCGATGTTTACTTTCCATACTGGAATAAAGGAAGCAAAATCTCCAATACAACCCTCATTTGTTTACAAAGTGTCTCAAGGCATTATACAGTATGAAGAGTTTGCAGAGCTCAAACTGCCTGAAAGGCTTGAAAAAACATAGATACTTCATCTATCTCTTAAACACTGGAACCAAGGAAATAGATGTAATGTCATTACACAGTATATTCCATAGCTTTGAAGCAGGTAACAAAGGCTCTGGTACCCACTATTTACAAACTTTATTAAAGAACAGTTAATAAACTTATGCCAGTTCATGCAGTATAGGAACATAGGGGTTCAGCTAGATAAGCATCTGGTCTTGCAAAAGAATAAATAAGGCACAAAGCTACGCCATGCTGCCTGTCCTGGTAGCAGTCTGCTTTCAACACAACGGATCTGATTCTTCAATCTGGACATGCTGCGATCATTGCAGGACATAGGCGCTGGAGGAAGGCGGCAAAGTGGCTGTTAGGGAACCATTTGGGAATCTAGTAGTTTCTTCACTGCAAGCCAAGAGATAACTAAAATTATTTCCAGTGGGGGGTCTAAATATGAGAAATAAAATCTCCTTGTGTGCGCTCTGTGTATGTATCTTATGAGCATTAAAAAACAAAACAACAGACAATAACCTGGAACTGATAAGCAGCCCTGAGGAAGGCTGAAGGTTATCTCAGCAGGCTCTGATGGTCCAATGTACTCAGTCTGGCTTGTTGAGCAGATTTATTTCCCTTTTAACCCAGGAAAAATTGTATATATGCTCTCTCCTTAGAAACTTGGTCTGAATAAATACAATGGAAATTGATAATATTATGCACGTCAAACTGACATAAAAACAAAACTGACATAGAAACTCAGAGGTGGGCTATTGACCTTGCTATAGGACTAGGAGCCAAGGCCTCCGGAGTTCTCCTCTGGCTCTAACTCCTTTTAACATTCAACAAGTCACTTAACTCTCCTGCCTCGGTCTCCCTGTAAGTAAAATAACAGTTACCTACTTCACACAGCTGTTGTGAGGACTTACCGAGTAACATTATAAAGTCCTCTGAAGAGGATAAATGCACAGTTGGTCTTATCTTGACATTCCTTGAAAGTTGCTATTCTATTTATAAAAATACCATTTCCTAATATTTTTTCTGTATTAACCCTGAAGTGCTCCCCGCCATCTACTTGATTAAAATATTATTGATAATTTTCAAACATCATTTTCTATAATTTTCATAGTATTGATTTACGTTGATAGTTGGGGCCAATTCCAGTGCAATTAAAGCTTTATTTGCTGATTTCAACTGTACTGAATGAAAAGCTTTTTTTCCTGAGACTCTTTGGACTGAGTTTACTATGGTTCCTGAAGTGTGGAGAAGGTAAACAGGCTTTGTTTAGAATCCATCCTTCCTGTTAATCTACTGAATGGAAAGATTGCAGAGTGCTGGGAAGTATTCGGAATAAAACAGTTTGAGCAGGTATATCTATTACTTTTAGGACAATAAAGCAGAGCAAAGAGAGATCCTGAGAAAACACACTGAATAGTTTTTGAGTCATTTATCATTTCAAATGGTTATTTTACATCTGTATTTTCTAAAACTCACAGCAGCTTTACAATTCTTGCAAACTGGTTGAAAATTCAGGCAGAGGCCCAATCCTGTACTGAGCGGTGTGCAAGCTCTGTGAAAGTCCAGGGATCCACCTGCACAGAGCTCACTGCAGAATTGGGGCATTAGAGTGCACTGTGACCTGGATTATGTTGAGTGTAGAACCAGGAAAAAACACTGTTTTCATTTGTACAACTGAAGGAATTCTTTGGTATAAAACAATAATTTTAATTTGGAAAAGGAGACTGAAATTAAACTGATGATGGCAAATTTAAAAAAAAATTATGAATGTTTCCTGCCATTAACAAAAAACTGAGGTCCAAATTTTAGTGTCACTGCCTTCTGAGGTTCAACAAAGGCTTGTCACACACTAGACCAAATAATAGCATTTTATGTGTCTCCCCAAGACAGCAAAAACTAAGATCTCAGATGAAGTTACTCCATGAATTTGAAGATTCTCCCCATGATGATTTAGAAAGATTCCCACGGATATATATGGAAGCTGGATCAAGCCCTAAAACTGATGCCTTGATAGCGTTTTCTCATTCACCTCCCACTCTTGCCCATTTATTCTTCAGATTGCACTCCCAACTGCCATATTTACTATAAATTCCTGGAAACTAGAGACTAAATTCTTGGGAATTGACTTCCAACATTTAAAAAAAAAGAAAAAACAAACAAGAAGTAAATGATGTGTTGGGGAGGAAAGGGGGAAAAGAAAGTGCTATGTGTCTTGTTAAAAGAAAATCACCTGAGCTTGCTGGAACTCTGAGGGGGCAAACTGTGGGCCAGATCTTCAGCTTGTATAAACTGGCAGAGCTCCACTGAAGTCTGTTGGAGATCAGGTCCTACATATATTTAGAATAAAATAAAGAAATTGAACAAAACAATCAAATAAGGTTTCAGCAGGGATAAGTTTGATACAGAAGATGACTACCAAGGAGAGCCTATAGAAGGGCTTAACATTAAGGGCTATATGCTACAAAATTAGTAGGTAGGCAACTTATTGTGAGTGCACACAGTCTGGATCAACAACTGACAATGACATAGCAGTAGAAAAGTGAAAATAGAGGGTAATCCTTTCAAACTAAGAGAAGGGGTTGTCAAACATCTGCTGTCTCACTGAACTTCTTTATAGCATTGTTTTTATATAAATATAAACTTTTAACAACCTTTATCTCACAGACTTCTTTTAGTAGTTTTCAGAAAACCATTTTAGGTACTTACCCCAATTAAACCCTAGTTAAACCTTATTTGCATTTCCTATTTTCTCTGCCCAGTAGTGGCAAGTCCAAACAATGCTAATTAGCTGTAACGGAGAAAATAATGCAAACATGAGGTAAGTTCTTAGTTGAATTCTACGCTGGTTCTTTATAGGAGTAATGCCATAGTAAAACTAGTGGCTGCTATGCAAACAAGCAAGCCAAAGCAAAGTATGAAAAACAGTGGTTGACTGGAACAGTAAATAAAACTGTTGTTTTAATTGTTCTTGTAAGCTCCAAAGATAAGCCATAGATTTTAAAATATATGCCACATGGCCATTGCGTTTTAGCTCACTCACTGTTTAGACTACAAGAGAGGATGATTGCTCTGGTCAGAAGATATTGTTAGCTGATTTTGCAACTGACTCAATGACACACAAACAAATATGGAGATTTTGTAGATCATGACGAATGAGCAGCAGGTTGGACCAGACAGGACTTGTTTGACTTGCTCAACTAGAGCTTGACTCCTACACTTTAAGAGGTATTTCAGTCTGCTAGATGTAGCAGAAAAACTCCATCCAACCAAAGAAATCCCCACTAAATATAGTAGGATGATTTCCAGGATCTATTTTCCTTCTCCCACACCTCCAGGCTGGGGAATAAGGATATCACTAGACATCTCCAGTATCCACAAAACAGAAAGGGATACTACCCTATAATTTTCTACTCTTGTCCCTAGTTTTGACCTTGGACCACTTTCTTTGCGGTTGAAAGCTTATTCAGTCTCCAGGTTAGTTCGTTCTAAGGCAGGGGTGGCCAACCTGTGGCTCCGGAGATGCATGAGCTCTTCATAAGTTACCATAATATGTGGCTCCTTGCATAGGCACTGCCTCCCCGGCTGGAGCTATAGATGCTAACTTTCCAATGTGCCGGGGACTTCTCAGTGCTCAACCCCCTGCTCTGCCCCAGGCCCTGCACCCACTCCACTGCATCCCCCAAGCCTGCCATGCCCTCACTCTCCCCTCCTCCCCACTAGAGCCTGCTGCGCACCGGGCGGCAGGCACTGATTGGTGAGGCTGCCGGCGGGCAGGAGTTACTGGAGGTTGGAGTGAGGAGAGCTGATGGGGGGCTGCTGATGTATTACTGTGGCTCTTTGGCAATGTACATTGGTAAATTCTGGCTCCTTCTCAGGCTCAGGTTGGCCGCCCCTGCTCTAAGGGAATCTCCTGAGATCAGACTGCCAAAAACAGTTTTGTATTGTGATCTGTGTACTAGGACAACAAACTTCAGTTCAGATTACAAATTGGGTTTGATCCAGAATTGTGGATGTGATGAGAATGTTTTTCTTATAAAGTCACCCAACCCTCCATGTCAACACTCCTACCTCATTACAGGTGGGATTTTCAAAAGTACTCATCAATGGCCTTACTCTGATTTTATAGACTTCATTAGGAAAATGAAAAATCACATCCTAAATGTTATCGTACTGTTAAAAATAAAGGGAAAGAAAGGATTAGACCCGATATGGGAACCATCTATTTGCCTTACTCATACAAACAGTCCTTTTTGGCCCAATAGTTTCTTTCAAGCTAACTAAAACATAAGGATTTGGGATGAAATCCTTACCCTATTGAACTTAATGGGAGTGTTCACACTGACTTCAATAGAGCCAGCATTTCACCATTTATTTTTCAAAAAAAAGCTACTGAAGGATTGTACCCTTAGACCCTCAAGTGGTTTTAAGGTGGCACCATAATTCCTTATTAGAAATGAGCAAATAATTTCTAGTGAGTAATTTATTGAATGAACTGCCTTTTTTCTGTTCAAATTTTGACTTTCTCAGATTTGTTACACACAACTACTCATAGAATCATTTTTATGAATAATTCTTGGTCTATAGATTGTTTGAGCAGTTTATTGCCAGCATTTGTTATTCAAAATTCAAGCTGTTACTTAGTTTTGACTGGACATGCAGGTTGCAAGGTATTGTTTTTGTCCCCTAATAATTAGGCCCAGTCTATATTCAAAGCTCTACTGGTGTAGCTAAAATAATTTTAAAATCAATTTAGCTAAACCAATGCAAACTTTTAGCGGACACTCTTAAATCAATTTAAATCTGGTTTATATTGATTTGAGCTTAATTGGCTAGTAACTTTGAATATGGACTCAGGTTTATGCAAATATTTATGCGCCTGATTCTGATCTCATGCTGATTTTTACATGATTGAAATCCCATTTAATTAAAGAGAGCTAAGCCTTATTTAAACTGGGGTGACAGGAGAATAAAACTCCACAAGTTCAAAATTTTATATATTTGAACATTATAATATTTACTAAAAAATTTACTGTTTCAGTGAATGTTCCTACCAGTGAACACCTTTATGAACTAAAAAGGCATGTGAGCAGAGCTGAAATTGAAATACCAACCTCTTAGGTGCCTTATGAATAGCTGTTCATCGAGGCAACTACCTTTTACTAGATTAATTCATTAATCCTGCTGTGAAACAGGACAACTAAGTAAATATTATCCTTGTGAAAAAGTATATCATATAATGGCTTTATACACTATTTAGGATATAAAATATTATTTATAAAGCACAGCAAGCTTTTGTCTCTAAGCTTTTCTAGCTCTTACTTTTCCTAGGACTTCTGTGCTTACAGACTATATCTTGCCAGATGTTCCACACCATTTGCTAACAGTTGCTCTTAAATTCTGATGGTTGGTGTCATTTTCCGGCATCATGTATCTGTCTTCACTATGAAATGTTTTCTTCACTGACAAATCCACCAATTTAAAATTAAGCTCATTACAGCCTCATGAAGTATCTATTTTAAGCCTGAAGAACTGAGTGTCTGTCTAATTCCTATTTCTGTGGCGTTACAGGGCAAATGTTGATGCTTCTCTGGAGAACTTCAAATGACAACAACAAAATGAAACACAGAAACGGCCAATAGATGTTAGTGTGATACTGACAGGGCTCAGGAATTGCAAGAATGGGTGGGTAGGGGGTGCAGGTTACTAGTTGACAGGTTTTGGTTGGGTAAAATCCTAAGGCATATACATTAATTTTCCCTACCATGTACTTAATGCCAGAACCAAAGCTGGACGATGCTGTTTAACTGAGCAGAACTCTCACAAGTGCCCTTTTATAGTTCTGATCAGGACTGTAAATCTTGTATGGGTAAAACTGGTACAATGCAATTATGTAATAGATACATTTGTCTCTAAGGTAGCTGTAGACTAGTTACATATTTCTGCCAACCATCCCTCTTTACGAGACAATAAATGTTCTTGTTTGTTGTTCTCAGCCATACCCCATTGGCCATCCAGGACTCTTGATATCCCTGAATTCAATAGCGTTGGCCTTTTCCCCTACTCGGCTGCCATTTCAGCTGTCTGCGGGTGGGGGTGGGGCCGATTGTTAAACAGCCCTAAGGAAAAAGTTGCGTGGAGGGCAGAGAGCTCTGATGGGGCCTCGCTCGGGCCTGCGGGCTCCTGGACCATCAGGTCTCCCCCCAGCTCAGCTCAGCTGCCTGCAGCCAGCCCCGGGCAGCTCTTTTCTCAGCTCTCCCCAGCTAGCTCCGTGCTGCCTTGCTCCGCAGCGAGTTGCCTGCAGTTAAGCAGGGGCCTTACCTGAGCGCGCCTCTTCCAATGGCAGCTCACCTGAGAGCCACCTCCATCCAATCAGCTCGCAGTTCGTCCCTCTGCCTTGTATCCTTGAGTGAAAGAATCCAGCTCCTCTCGAGAAAGTTACCTGTGGGCGCCTAGGTCTGCTGCTTTCCGCTCTGTGCCTCCCACTGCCCCAGCACCACGGGAGAGAGCCCAGCACCCAGCCTCTGCCCACATGTGAGGGGGGAGGGGGCTCTACCTGTCCTACCTCTGGGGCTGGCGGAGGGGGGGGAGAGGGAGGAAAGCAGAATTACTAGTAGCTCTGGTTCTCCCGTCCCGGGCGCTCACACACACCTTCACCTGCACAGACTTGAAAGTCCAGTTTCACCAGAGAGACTGAGGCAGCAGGAAAAGGGGAGAGAGTTCATTGGATCAAACATGTCACAAGAGACGGACAAGTAAGTGATCACAGACATCCTGCTGCTCCTGCCGCTTTGGGCTGATCAGACCAACTGGTTTGTTGTGTTTTGTTGGTGGTGGCTCTGGACCTGCCGGGATTACGATTCTGCCTCGATAAAAGGCACTAGACTGAGGAGGTCGAATAAATCCCAGGGCTGCTGAGCACAAAGCTGCAGCTTAACGTTTCTCCTCTCGCTCTTTTTTATTCGTGTTCCCTTTTCGCTGAGCTTTCTTCCGTGTGGGGGGCTCTTTCTTTTCGCCCTGGAGCAGAGCAGCTCCTTCCACTGGCCTCAGGCCCGGGCCGAAAAGTGGCTCTTGGCTTTTGTGTGAATGCAACAAAGAGCTTTTATATTGGATCACAAACGGCCATCTTCTTCCCCCTTCTCCTTGCACTGGTGCGTGTGGCAGAGAGCAGGAGGGGGAGCTCTGAAATCTCTCCGGGGGAGTGTCTGGGGAGAGACCCCACTCCAACTCCTGGCTCGGGACGTTGTGAGGCAGGGGGGTGTTTGAAAAGTGGCTTTTGTGGGATTTTGTTTCCTCCCAACGGGAGTCAGGGGGCCCAAGCACAGTCTTGTCGGCACAGTCTTGTCTGACCGTTGTTCTCTGGGCTGCTTGTCACTTTTAATTACTACCTGCATAGATCTATTTTTCAGTCTCTAGAATCTGAAATTGTTTTTAACCAGGACGTCTTTGCAGCGCCTAGGCCTCTTGCACCAGCCTGCGTGCGATCCCAGGGGTAACAAAATAACTTTTACAGCCAATTGCCCCAAGAAGCGCCACACTTATTATTATTTTTAAACAGTGCGGAATTAAAACAAACCTGCCCACATATATTTAACGCAAGGACACTTAGACCCCCCGGTGACAGACACTTTAGCATGCCCTGGTTCTTGTTAAACGTGAAAACAAATCCCAAAGGACGAACTTTGAAAAAGTTTCATCGAACTTGTTACGCGTGAGTTTCGAAGGCCACGAGACGGCAGCGTGTGTGCTGGGGGGCTGGTGTGTACACGGGTGTAGAGTACCTGCCTGGGCTGCAGCCTCCGCTCGCCCGAGCCCTGCCTCCCCCCAGTGTGCGGGGCAGGGGGGTGCATCTCTCGGGGAGATGGTTTTTCCCTCGGGATTATATTACTCCTTTCAGCGGCGTGAAAGCCCGCTGGCTCCTTGTAGCTTTGTCCGGTGACTTCAGCTCAGGCAGCAGCCGAGAGCCCGCCGACGCAGGGAAAGGGGCGAGGCGACTACAGGAGGCTGGGGCTGGGGAACCGATTCTGCTCTGGCCAGAATGTACCTTCTCCTTCCGGGCATGTGCAGGCGCAATGTGCGTCGCGCTGGGAAAGTCACGTCTCGCTGAAGTGGCGGCCTTTCCCCTGCCCAGCCAGCGCGGCTGGGGCAGGCTCGGGGGCGGGTTGGGAGCTGAATGGAGGAACCTGGAGGAGAGATGTTTGGGGATGGGGAGGGACACGGGGGGCCGGGGACCCAAAGGAGGGAGGGCGCAGGAATGGAGGAACCTAGGCCATGAGGAGGAGAGCAGCTGGAAAGGGGCACCAGGGGAAGGGTGGGTGGGTGAGCAGGGGTAGGACTAGTGATAAGGGGGGGTGGCACCCACGTTGTGCGGATGACGGGAGAGAATGAGCCAGGAGGAGGGTGTGTGGCTGGAGCGATGCCAGGCCAGTGGGAGGTGTGTGTGGGGGGGTGTCCGATATCGGGCCCCTGAGGGGCGGGGGTGGAATTTACAATGTGAGGACACCACGGGCAAGGCTTGTCAGTGTGGACAGAGGGAGGGACAGATTTGAGAGGCGTTGAACTGGAAAAACCCACAGGACTCGGCGACAGGCTGCCTGACTGTGTGGGGTGGAAGAGGAGACTAGCAGGGCTGGTGGCTTAGACGGAGCGGGGGAAGAAGGGACGGTTTAGAGGGGAGAGGTGACAAATTTAGTCTTGGCCACTTCGATCATCACCTGGCAGGAGGATCCTGGAACGGTAGATGGTGAGGCGCCATTAGAGAAGGAGAGGGATTGTAGTGGAGATCGAGATTTGGGAGTCACCAGAGCACAGATGGGAACTGAAGCCAAGGGAGCAGATGAGGTCAGTAGTGTAAGTTAAGGGATAAGTATAGAGAGAGGCAAGGACAGAGCCCTGAGCGATGCTGGTGTTGAGGAGGAGCAGTTGAAAGAGAAAAGATAGAGTTGGGTGGGGGACCAGATGACTACAGTGTTCCGAAAGCTCGGGAACAAGAGGGCGTGAACGACTCTGTTAAAAACAATGGGTATGTTAAGGAAGATGAGAAGGGAGAAGAGGCTGTTATGCTTGACAAAGAGAATGATCTTAGTGATAGTGATTTCATTGGAGTAGAGGGGCAGAGCCAGGTTTCAGTGGATCCAGGAGAAAATTGGAGTGGGGAAGCCAGGTGAGGTGAGGGACAAGTCTGCCTGCTCCAGAAGCTCCGAGGCAAAGGAAAGGAAGATAGTGGAGTAGGTGCAGAAGTGTGCACTTGTCATTACTGTTGCCTGCTAACCACACTGTGGGGGACACCAGAGGGATAGAGAAGTTGCAGGGGCCATGTACCTCTCAGACATCAACATCTGCCCTCTGCAAGTGTGCCTGTGAAAGATCCTGGGGCAAGGGAAGGGAGGATTTGAAGAGGAAATAAAATGTGGGAAAACGTCACTGGTCTTTGTAGACATAGGTGTGTGAAGCAAGAAGGAAAAGTAAAGTTATTTATCGAGGATAATGGCAGGGTTGAATAAAGAATTGTGTGTGTGTGTGTGTGTGTGTGTGTGAAGGAAGTCTGTTAATTTTGTTTTAATATGTTCAGTATATAATTGTATCTAATTAAAACCTAACCTGCAGCATTATCTCCAGGTGGCATCTCCCTTTACTTTATACATCTATATCTTATATCTATATCTATCTATATCTCTCTATATGTCTCCCAGGGGCAAACAAGATAGAGATGTTCATTATTATGATGTCAATTAATTCCTGTCAGTTTAATTGGATATTTTTTTGGTTGTGTGATATTAATATGTTGGGATAAGCTACCTATGAAAAGATGCACTATTTCTTCTTCTGTGTAGCAGGGGTGAGGAAGGTTGGTGGAAGTTAAATCCTAGTGAGGAAAATAGAAAGGAGCATAAACTCTGGCAAATGAAGAATAAAAATATAATTAGGAAGGCCAAAAAAGAATTTGAAGAACAGCTAGCCAAAGACTCAAAAAGTAATAGTAACATTTTTTTTAAGTACATCAGAAGCAGGAAGCCTGCTAAACAACCAATGGGGCCCCTGGACGATGGAGATGCTAAAGGAGCACTTAAGGACCATAAGGCCATTGCAGAGAAACTAAATGAATTCTTTGCATCGGTCTTCACAGTTGAGGATGTGAGGGAGATTCCCAAACCTGAGCCATTCTTTTTAGGTGACAAATTTGAGGCCTGGTCTACAGTGGGGGGGCGGGATCGATCTAAGTTATGCAATGTACTTAGAACTACTTACCGCGGTTTCTTCACTGCGGTAGGTTGACTGCTGATGCTCCCCTGTCGACTCCGCCTACGCTTCTCGCTCCAGTGGAGTACCGGAGTTGATGGGAGAGTGCTCAGCCGTTGATTTATCGCATCTTCACTAGACACGATAAATCGACCCGCGCTGGATCAGTCGCTCCAGAGGTAAGTGTAGACATGCCCTGAGGAACTGTCCCAGATTGAGGTATCATTAGAGAAGGTTTTGGAACAAATTGATAAACTAAACAGCAATAAGTCACCAGGACTAGATGGTATTCACCCAAGAGTTCTGAAGGAACTCAAATGTAAAATTGCAGGACTACTAACTGTAGTCTGTAACCTATCATTTAAATCAGCTTCTGTACCAAATGACTGGAGGATAGCTAACGTGACTCCAATTTTTGAAAAGGGCTCCAGAGGTGACTCCAGCAATTACAGGCCAGTAAGCCTGACTTCAGTACCGGACAAACTGGTTGCAATTATAGTCAAGAACAAAATTGTCCAACATATAGATGAACATAATTTGTTGTGGAATAGTCAACATGGTTTTTGTAAAGGGAAATAATGCCTCACCAATCTACTAGAATTCTTTGAGGGGGTCAACAAGCACGTGGACAAGGGGGAACTAGTGGATATAGTGTATTTAGATTTTCAGAAAGCCTTTGACAAGGACCCTCATCAAAGGCAATTAAGCAAAGTAAGCAGTCATGGGATAAGAGGGAAGATCCTCTCATGGTAACTGGTTAAAAGATAGGAAACAAAAGGTAGCAATAAATGGTTAGTTTTCAGAATGGAGAGAGGTAAATAGTGGTGTCCCACATGGGTCTGTACTGGGCCCAGTCCTATTCAACATATTCATAAATGATCTGGAAAAAGGGGTAAACAGTGAGGTGGCAAAATTTGCAGATGATACAAAACTATTCAAGATAGTTAAGTTCCAGGCAGATTGTGAAGAGCTACAAAAGGATTTCTCAAAACTGGGTGACTAGGCAACAAAATGGCAGATGAAATTCAGTGTTGATAAATGCAAAGTAATGTACATTGGAAAACATAATCCCAACTATACGTATAAATGATGGGGTCCAAATTAGCTGTTAACATTCAAGAAAGAGATCTTGGAGTTATAGTTCTCTGAAAACATCCACTCAATGTGCAGTGGCAGTCAAAAAAGCAAACAGAATGTTGGGAATTATTAAGAAAGGGATAAATAATAAGATAGAAAATATCATATTGCCTGTATATAAATCGATGGTACGCCCACA